CATCGGTATATCATTGGTAGGGTATTTAATAAATTTAGATATAAATAAGATTTAATAAATTACATATATAATATATATATATTGTGTGACCAAAGTTATTGTAGGAGGTATATATTATATACCTCCTACAAGAACTTTAGTCACACAAGGGACTGCGTAAGAGGCCTAGGTAGATGGGAAAGATCTCTTTTCTATAATAGGGACGACCAACTAAATCCAAGGGCTTTTTGCATCAGACGGATCATGTCCTCAGTAATAGCTAATTTATGTTCTAGGGACCTAGTAGCGGCCTTAAGGACAGACCAGGATACATCATAGCCTTGGTGGTATGCTCGGCCTATCTGCCTTATGTCTCGATGGACGATCCTCCAACACAGGTGTTGATCGATATTATGGAGTACTGCAGCACACTGAGCCTACCACTGATTATCGGGTGCGATGCCAACGCACACCATGGGAAAGCACCAAGAAGAATAGGAGAGGGCTCAGCCTCTTAGAGTATCTACAGATCAGAAAATCCTAAACCGCGGCACTACACTGACCTTCGTCACGTCACGAAGACAAGAGTGAGATAGACTTGATATTGGGCTTCCTCTCCATGGCTCCGATGACAAAGAAACTAGAAGATTTCTGACGAGCCGTCCCTGTTGGATCACAGACACATTCTCTTTAGCTTAGACTTTACTCACGAGGCTGGGCTCAGTAGGTTCAGGAACCCCCGGAACACAAACTGGGACAAGTATCTTAAGATGTTAACTACTAAGCTGTGGACTCTTCCATGACGTGCCGCAGCTCTCGGCAAGTGGAGAAAATAACCAAATTCGTACGCGATGCAATCATCACATCGTAGGAACGAAGCTGCCAGCTTCGGGTCTATCGAGGAAAAAAGAAAACCCCTTGATAGAATTCTTACCTTGACAAGGCTCGAAAGGATGCTTTAACAGGGTCATGCGGTCTAAATCACCTGCGGATGGGGACAGCCAAAAGCAGTCTCAGCGCAGGTACAAAGATTTCAAATGAAGCTCTAAGAGGGAATCTTGGAAGACGTTCTGCGATAACGTAGACGAGCTTCCAACAGCAGCCAAGCTTCAAAAGATTCTCTCAAATGATACAGGACGAGAGCTGAGTTCATTAAGGCTTTCCTCCGGTGACCATAGCACCTCTGTGGAGGAGGCACTTAAACGGATTCTGGAAACCAACTTTCCGGGCTCAGAAATCCTGCAAACTGTCGAACCACCAAGGCAAGCTCCACCAGCTGACGTGAGGCCAACTAACTGAAAAATAGCTGCAAAGGCAGTGACTAAAAAGTTTATAAAGTGGGCTATCCACTCATTTGAATATTTTAAAAGCGCAGGACCAGATGGCATCTTTCCGAATCTCTTACAAAAGGGGCTATAACCAATGACCCCGCACTTGATACCCCTCTTTAGAGCTTGCCTTGCACGGGGCTACGTGCCACAATCCTGGCGAAAGGTTCAAATGGTGTTTATTCCCAAGTCAGAACGTTGTAACTACGAAACCGCAAAGAATTATTGATTAAGGTGCGTACTGCTACTTCGCATCCTAAACGAGGAAGGTATTTTCTAGGAAGGCTACGCGGACGACCTCTTCATTTTCGTAGCTAGAAAGGTACCAAACAATATTAAAGAGATCATGCAAAGAGCTCTTAATGAGGTCGAAAGGTGGTGCAACGATCACGGACTCTTCGTTAATCCGGATAAGAACGAAGTGGTACCATTCACCAAACAAAAAAGCGTGAGCCTAGAAGGGCTCACGTTCTTCGAATCTATTTTATATAAGTATATTTTTTTCAGACATTAAGTGTATTTTGTCACCCCACCAACATGGATTTTTTGAAAGAAGAAGCACGCTATCAAATCTAACAGTATTTACGCAGTATGTTGCCGAAGGCATTGATAATAGGGATCAAATTGATGTTATTTACACCGACTTCAAAAAAGCTTTTGATCAAATCGATCATTTTGTTTTAATAAGCAAACTTGAACAAATTGGCTTTAGCAATAATTTAATTAAACTATTTGAATCATATCTTATAAATAGAAAACAAATGGTTTTTTATAATGGCTTTTATTCCAATTGTATCACTCCTACCTCAGGAGTTCCTCAGGGTTCCAATCTGGGGCCCCTTCTATTTTTAATTTTTATTAATGATCTACCAGATAACATTGGTTGTGAAAAATTACTATTCGCCGATGATCTGAAAATATTTAAAATTATTAAGGATATTGAAAGTTGTCTCTGCCTGCAAAAAGATATTAAAAACATAGAAAGGTGGTGTGAGTTAAATCGTTTAAATTTAAATATTAATAAATGCAAAGTAATGAGCTATACAAACAAACAAAATCCAGTTTTGTTTGAATATAAGATTAACCATATTACTTTGGATCGAGTTTTTAGCATGAGGGATTTGGGAGTTACGTTTGATAAAAATTTGTCATTTTCTATCCATATTAACAATATTTGTAATGAATCTTTACGCATGTTAGGGTTTGTAATTAGAAATTCTGCAGGTATTAAAAGTGAAAAATGTCTTAAGACTTTATATTATTCTTTAGTTCGAACAAAACTGGAGTATTGTTCATTAATATGGTCACCAGTTTACAATGTTTATATTAGGCGGGTCGAATCGATCAATCGTAAATTTTTGAAATATTTGAATTTAAAAGTTAATGGATTTTACCCTCCTCAAGGATTTAATCATTCTTCTTTACTTGATCGTTTTGGTTTTACATCCCTGGAAACAAGAAGAATAAATACGTCATTGACATTTCTATTTAAGTTATTAAATAATAAAATTGACTGTGATATAATCTTAAATAAAATCAATTTTAACGTACCCAGAATTGAATCGCGCTCAATGCGCACTTTTAAATGTCAAATCTGCAGAACCAACGTACTACCTAAAGCTCCAGTAAATGTTATGTGTAAAAACTTTAACCATTTAAACCCTATCATCGATATACATCACTCTTCACTTAACTATATCTTATTTAATTCAAATGTGTTACAATGATTGTTTGTTTATTTTATGTATATTCCTTGGTAATACCTTGTTTATTGTCGTTAAATATTATATATAACTGTTTTTTAAGTATTGTATTTATATATTATTAATTGTTTAGTTGTTACGTTACTTCTAAATTGTGCTTTAAAATAATTTATACAATTGTTTTTTATTCCTATACTAGTATATTTGTCCTGTAACTGGTTTTAAACTGTTGGGCAATAAAGTATTTATTATTATTATTTATTAAGACTGATCCTATCCAAATAAGTCAAATATCTGGGAGTCACGTCAACAGGGTCTCAACAAGGTCAACCTTGTTTGGGTACCGGGTCATCGAGGTATTAAAGGCAATGAGGAAGCAGACCAGCTGGCTCGTGAAGGCAGTAAAACGGCCTTTATAGGGCTGGTTGAAGCCAAGATCAGAAACTGGACTAACAACCAGTTCCAGAAAAAATGGCGGAAACAACAAGGCCTCAGACAGTCAAGGGTCTTACAAATTGCAAAGAGGCAAAAAGATTCATAAAACTAAACAGGAACCAGGTAATAGCCATCACATGAGTCCTAAAAGGGCACTGGTTAGTCAAATATCACCTGCACAAAACCGGACTAAGCAACGAGACGAATTGTAGGTACTGCAGCAAAGTAGACAAAACTACCGAGCATATAGTCTTAGAATGCGAGGCTTTAATCAATAGCAGACTAAGACGCCTCGGGGACAGGTATCTGGAACCAGAGGAAATAATGCATGCCCGACCAAAGCGGTTTTGCGGTTTCCTTAAAAGCTGCGGGCTTCTAAAGTAAGGCAAAAATAGGCCAAGAGAAATTCCCACTTAAACTCTGATTACCGATTGAGTAATGTTCTTTGGTGTAGAGGGTTTAAAGGGTATTAATAAAACCTAAAAGAGATTTTAAAATTAAACAAAAAAGTTTTAGCTCCCATTTGAAGAACAGATTTTTTGTTTTTAATTAGTTCTTATACTTTTAGTGACTAATTTTTTGAATTTATTTTTGTGTAATAATATTACATACGTATTTGATATTTTATATTTGTTGTATTTTATTAATAAAGTATATTTTTCCAAGTTTGTTTTATCCTACCAATATATATATATATATATATATATATATATATATATATATATATATATATATATATATATATATATATATATATATTTAGACACTCCCCCTTGTAATATATATTGTCAAAGTCTTGACCTTCCTCTCCCCAAATTCTCACGTCAGACTCAGATTTTTTTAATTTTCTGTTTTTTTTTCTAAATAAATAAATTTTATTAGGTATACAATTTAGTAAAGCAAAATTTATATTTTTAAATTATTATGATAATAAAAAAATACACTTTAATAATTAAAAAAACAAATCATAAAAATATTTTTATAATTATTTGTTTGGTGTGACCTCTTACGTGATTTGTACTATTCTCATTTATAAATAATTATTTATCATTTATAATCCTAATTAATTTTGCAAACGTAAATAATTTATGATTACTAATTAATTTAAAACAATAACTATGCTTGATAATGATACTGTACTGTATACTGTATCAAACTTCGCCGCAATTTCTGATTAATGCAAGATAAAAAACCTATATTGGCTAACAGCACCTTTCAGGCAAGCGTTCGTAAACATACGTTTTCAAACATGTATGTACAACAAACAGCGAATTTTGGAAACGGAATAGCAAATTAGACACCGATGATGTTTATAAACATGGATGTTTAAGAAACTCTGAGCCCATGCGTCTATAGACGAAATAATTAAAAGGGAATAGGCACATATGTTACCAAACATATGTAGTTCGTAATGTTTAACGTAATTTAAGGTAATTATTTTTATAAATTTGGCAACCTAAAATCCCATCTGTAATTATAATCAATTTTTAGTTCAATAATTAAACAATAATATTTATTTTCTTTTGTATTCTGTATTGGCTATTTATAAATTTACCTGCTTAATTTCCCACAGCAATTTTTTATTTATATCAACCTTTTTCTTTGTTATTTTTTTAATGGCAACTCTATTTCCTTTATAAATTCCAATATTGGTATAAATTTTAGAAGCTTGTAATGAATTACATGAAGTAATTGAAGCACGGCAGCTAGTAAGCCCATATGTCTTAAACGAATTATTATTATTAAATAAAAAATATATCATAAAAAAAATACTTCGGTTAATTTTTGTAAAGCCAATTTGGATCCAAATGATCTGCCCAATTCCAAATGAATTTCTTCTGGTCTAATTCTCCAAGACATATTGTTTAAATCGGCTGCAATTTTCATTCTCCTAAAATATCTTTTGTTTTATATTTTTTGATTACATTATTTATTTATTTTAATACTTATATGTTATACAGATTAGGGTAGCAGTAAAGGCTAAAAATGCCCCGAAAGCAAACGATCCATAAAGTATTACCATGTAAGAATCTTAGCAGCATTAAAAATAAATATTAATTTTTCTAAAATTGTTTTTTATTTAAGCAATTAAATTAATACGTTTCTTAGTGTTTCTTACCAGCATGTTGGCAATCTGGATTATTCCCCAAAAACCCGCATTTGGGCTTATCCGGAGGAGGCCCTTCTCGTCCTCCAGGCCAGTGGATTTTTTTTCCTTCCACAGGCGAATAAATTTTCCGTAGTCCATAATAATTCGCAACAACTTCAAACTTTCCAGTTATCGGGTCTAGATCTAGAATCGAATAATCAGCATCTCTATCACCGTTGTCATCAATTCTAACATGGCCAGTTATACCTTAAAATTAATTTAATTAAAATGGAAAATCATTATTTATTAATTATAACTAGGGTTGGGAAAATTTCACTTTTTACTTGTACTTGAAATTTCACTCGAAATTTTCACGACATTTATAAAATTTATTAAAATTTCCTAAATGTCTGAAATTTATTGAAATTTATTGAAATTTTCAATAAATTTCAATCACTTTAAGTGTAATATATTAATATTGAAATAAGCTCACTCGGTGACCATGGAAAATTGCCTCTCTTACCTCCTACCCCTCTGTGGGCCCCTGCACCAATAATATAAATAGTAAATACCTATGTTTACCACAAATTTCTTGAGATTTCCTTTTAAAATATTTTTAAAATTACTAAAACTAAGGGAGATATAGCACTTTTTGGTATGCTAATGAGATTGTACAATGCCACTTTCATTGTTTTATATTTATATATATTTATTATTTTTATATATTTTACTGAAATTTTACAAAAATTGAAGAAACTTCATCAAAATTTTATGAGCTAAAGGCATTTTTTATCCGTTTTCCGATACAATTATAGCAAAAAGTAAAAGTTTAAATTAATCATGACTTTTAAAAAAATTTTAAAGTCTGATTTAATTTACAAATTAAATTGGTAACTGAATTAAATTATTTAAATTAATTTATGTATATGGTAACAATAATTACTTATAGTGTAGGTATTCAAATCCAAGCCGAACTAAACAAAAACGCCCAGACGCTTGATAACTCGTTCTTATTGGTCGATTCGGAATCTGTTGTAAATTATTATTAAAGGTCCCAGGGGAGGCCGCATGTGAAATTTATGCGAAATTTTCAGTAAATTCCGAAAATTTCAATGAAATTTCTGAAAGTTTCACAGGCAATGTTGAAATTTTCGAATTGAAAATTTTATTTGAAATTTTCAAAAATTTCACTTTTCCAACAAAATGAAATATTTCAAGTTTGAAACTTTCAAAGTTGAAATTTTCATTTGAAAATTTCAACTGTCCCAACCCTAATTATAACTAAAGGTATCTTAGGGCACCTAACTACTTACCATAAAAATCTCTATTCCACATGCGTGTCGTAATTTTTAATCCATCCCTTATATCGCCACCTTCCCAAAGTGTTTCGTTTAATGCTAAACCCAATAGATAAACTCCGTCATAAAAGGCTCCTATTACGAAATTAACCTTAAAATAAATTTTAAATAATTAAAAAAAAATATTTTAAAACACTTATTTAAGGAACTATGACAACATAATATTATTTCTATTATATACATGTTAAAAAATCGCCACTGGTAGTACTTGCGAGACGCCTTGGACTACGAAAAAGGGGACAAAAAAGTATAAAAAGTCATACAGTACGCATCGATCTGTATGTTTTTTATTTATTTCGGTTAATTAACGTTATTTCCACCAGTTATTATCCTTTGTTTATATTTAAAATTAAATATAATGCACTCTAAAAAAGGGACCAAATCACAGACCACATGTGGTCTGTCGACCAAATCGATTTTTGGATTTTGACCGTTATAGATTAATTACATGATTCTCTAAAGTCAGAAACGCGTAAACTCTAAAATTAGCGCCGAGTCCATTTTTTAGAAGCGCGTCATAAATACGTTTTTTTTCAAGCATATAACTATTTTTATATTATAAAAATCATAAACCCTTATATAAATCCTTTATATTTATACGCAGTTTAATAGTCAACATATTATACACCGCCATACAATAGTAAAAATACAATGAAATACATAGGAAGACTGGTAACATCTATTGCGTTTAGCTCAAAATCAGCAGAGGAAATGCCACACAGGTCACTGTAGAAAAAATTCATATACAAACCTAGAATAGAACATATATGTCAATCGTCAAATTTCAAGTACAGAATTATTACATGCTTGAAAAGAAAAAGTATATACAACACGGCGGAGAAAGCATATAACTGCCTCACTCAGATCTGCAGACTTAGGTAAGGCCTCGGCAGCGAACACTGGGCTCGGCTTTAAATAAGCGCTTTCTACGCCTGTTAGTATGTACTATTATGTCGTGCCATTGTTTTAATAATAATAATAATAATAATCTTTATTAACGACAAAAATAGCAGTTACACTATAAAAGTAATAGTTTATAACCTTTCAGAAATCAATGTAACTAATTCTATAAGTATAATATGTCACAGGTACAAAATAACATAATAATACAGTAATAATGATAATAATGTGGAGACTGACACACCATACATTCAAGTAATCAATCACTAAGCGAGTAAAGATAAGATTTAAAAGAAAGAAGGGAGACTATTACAGACTTACAAAGACTTACAGAGATTCGACTTAATGAAGAATAACTGACTTATACAGTGCGGCAACTGGGAATCTGAAATAACATGGAGTTTTTCAAACTCCTCATTGGTATTTTTATGTTAAAAGGCGCCAGTATTTCAGATGACTGAATCAAGCCATTAAAATCCTTAAAGAGGAAGCAAGCATATTTATTAAATCTACATGTAGATTGTAGGTGCACCTTTTAAGGAAATTTAGACCCAAATACTGTGGGGTTTCCTGAGTATTTAATATTATTTCACTATTATTCAGTTTCTACTTCATGTTTCGGAAAATTTTATTCTAAATTGACGCGATTCTAGTAACTTGGGTTTGGTAGATTGGCGACAATATTATTGACTTATATTCTAGTCGAGATCTAACCAAAGATAGAAAGAGCAATACTAAAGAGCGAGTAGCATTTACACATTCTCATCATACATAAATACCAGCATTTTGTTAGCTTCAGTGACTATTGCATTATAATGGTTGCAGAACTGGAGTTTATTGTCCAACAAGAACCCTAGATCCCTAATCGGGTTTACTTCGTTTAGAAAATTTTCCGAGGTAGTGTAGTTGACTGCATTGTCAATATTCTTTCTGGAGAATCTAATGAAACAGCATTACTGTGGTTTAGAAATAGCTTGTTGTCAATGCACCACTGGCTAAGGGGGTCCAAATCCTGTTGCAGTACCGTTAAATCATGTGCAGAGACCACACGCCTGAAGATATTTAAATCGTCTGCAATTAATAACTAGGACGAGCCAAAATGGTCACTAATGTCATTCAGAAAAATATTAAACAATGAGGGTCCCAAATGAAAACCCTGTAAAACTCCACTGGTAACCCTGATAGTGTTGGACTCAAATCCACTCAGTTTGAGTCCTTCCATGTAAGTAAGTATCTAGTAACGATACAACTTGTTAAGCAATATTTCATGATCGACAACATCGAACGCTTTACTGAAGTCCATATAGATAGCATGAACCTCACAGTCTCAATCCATACTAGAAAGAACAGAGTTAATAAAACAAAAAAGATTTTTAAAAGCAAAGTGACATATGGAACAATAAGTTTTTCAAACAACTTATCAATTGCAGACTTACAGACGTTGTAAAGTTTTACGAAATGTATTAAATTTTGACAATTGTTTCGCTACACAGTAGCTTCTTCAGAATTCTGAACTTTACAACAAAGTTGTTTTTATATCAACATAGTTAATATGGAGTTTCATCAAGTAAAGGTCGAAACAATTAATAGAATACATACCTGTCTATAATTTTTAACATTTGATTTGTCACCTGATTTAAAGACTGCCAGCACAAAAGAACGTTTTCAGGTTTGGGAAAAAACTTCAAGTTTCAGAAATTGAAAAATCTGTTTTTTTAGAAACCCCTTAGAAAGTCCATCTAGACCAGCACCCTTATTAATATCCAATTAAAGTATATTTGAAAATAACTCTTCGTGTGTAAATTTAATTAAAGACAGATCCACACAGTCTGAAATTTGCAGGTTTAGGTCATCCGCCTTTGCAATCTAAATATTGACATTATATACAATCGGTAAAAATGATTAGCGAAAGGGTTTTCAATACATTGAACGTCATTTTACTCTTTACAAAGTTCCAAAAGTATTTTGTATTAACTATAAATTGATTCTCAACCCTTTCTATAAGGTTGTAGCAAGACAAATTTAAGTTTTTCCTCCCATATAGCATAAAGCATATAGCATTAAAGTATATTTTTAATTTAATCTTGGCAAATAACACATTTCCTGTACAATGGAAAATTTATTATCAACAATTTTTAAATCGGATGACATAAGAAATTACCGTCCCATAGCTATTATATGTAATTTTACCAAGATATTTGAATCTATACTGACTAAATAGATTAATTTTAATATTTCTTTACGAATGCTTATCTCAGTATAGTTTTGTTAAAGGTCGATCCACGGTCACAAATCTATATAATTTACAATGTAAATTTTACATCATACTCTTTAAATCAAAAATACCGATTTTACTAAAGCTTTTGATAAAATTCAGAATAATATTTTATTGCACAAAATAAGTAATTTCGGTTTTGGTGAAAACATGATTAATTTATTTAAATCATATTTGCACCAAAAATTTCACTATGTCGAATAAAGAAACTGTAAATCGAAGGTATGTATATTGTGCATCGAGTGGAGTTACACAATGGAGCAATCTTTGGACCTTTATTGTTCCTAATATTTGTTAATGATATAAAAAAAAATGACATTGGCTCAACAAATTTACTATATGCTAATGATTTTAAAATATTTAGAGCTATTACATCGCATAATGACCGCCTGTGCCTTCAGAATGACCTTAATAATTAATTATAATCTGTATAACTGGTGTGATTGGAATCAATTATATTTGAATATTGGAAAATGTTACGTTTCCTAGAAAATTCAATAATATTGTTTTTAATTATAAAATAAATAATAAAATCTTAAGAAATGTTTAAACATTTAAAGATTTGGGCGATATAGACGTTTGTCTGTTGGATTAATAAACGATTATTATTATTAATATTATTATTATGAGTATGACGTATGAATGTATAGCAGACCCCATCGGCCACGGCTTACACTGCTATTCCAGGGTTATTTTACCCCCTTTCGGTTCTATACGCATCCCTCCACTGCACAGCGTTACCTGTGTTTGGTGAATCCGAATTTTCGCCCCGCCAGGTAATCCTCCCTAGGTAGTCGTGGATGACAGTGTCGATGGTTAAGGCCATTCCCGGAATTTTGTCGACGGGCCGACCATACGCCCGATTTAGGCTAGTGGAGTGTAGGACTAGGAAGTTGTTTTTGGGGGCCTTGAACTGACTCAAAACTAAGTACAATCCGGACTGCCCCTCAACCAGGGTATTAGTAATGACCCCATTGGGGTTCATGAATGAGGCTTGGGTTATTAGTACGTTGCTTGGACATCCTTGCTGGCCTTGTATTTCATCGGAATCTGCTGCGCGTAGTTGTTTACCTCACTGGGGTGTTGTTTTTACTTTTCCCACATTCTTAGAATCTTTTTGTATATTCTTAAATTTATTTTATTGTTAAAATTAATGTATTATACCATTTACCATTAAACTTTAATTAAATCTTATCAAACATTTTATTTTGTACCAAGTTGTACTGTAACGTATTAAAATTTGGAATGCGGCCCTAATGGCAGGTGTAAAGATGTTGCTAAAGTTTTATAGATATGGTTTGTTTAGGTTAGACTTATTACGTGCTCGTTTTGGGGCTGGCCTGTAAGTTTATGCTTGTATAATATATATAATACAATAATATAATAATGTGACGTTCTTACTTGATTTGGTTTTTTACACTCATTCGCTGTTATCGATAATGATTAATTATTGTCAGGTTTTTGTTACAGATTTGCGTATTAGGTCATGCATTGATACTTATCAGATTCAGCAGATGATGGCCAGTTCCACTATTGGTTAGACTAATTTTTTCTTTAAATAGGTGATTCCTTGACCTGTCCCCTGTCACTTTATTACTTCCGTGTCCGCACGGACCTCACCCGTTGAGAGTTGCTCTCTTCCCCGTGTGATTATTATTATTATTATTATTATTATCATCAAGTTTCTGCTCTAATAGTAAAACGTAATTCAGGCCAGCTCAAATATTTAAGCTAAACATGTTCTGATGGGTTGGTTTACGAATTTTATCTGTAATGATGCATATGAACAAATTGTTCGAAATTATATTCATATTTTTACCAGCAAGTATCCAAAAATGAACAATTAATAAATCCCTTTGTTAAAGAAAAATGTTCCCAGATTAATTAAAGACGAACTTAATGGGGAAATTATAACACATTTTATTGGTATATGTTCTAAAATGAACACATTTAAATTTTTGTGTTAAAAAATGAGTGAAAAAGTCAGAGGGAGTTATTTAATTGTTGTAAAAAATGTCAAGCCACGTCAAGTGGGACCAAAAAATTTCACGAAATCAGCGATTTTGAAAATAATCACATTATTGTGTAGTAGGCATGACGCATATATCACAGTAAAAAATTTGTTTTAAAATTTGGTTTCTTTACCCAAGGGAGCAATCTTGGACCTTTATTTTCCTGATATTTGTTAATAATATAAAAAATGACATTGGCTCAACAAGATTTTAAAATATTTATGTATTTAAAATATGCCTGTGCCTTTAGAATAACCTTAATATTCTGTAGTTATAACTGGTGTGATTGAAATCAATTATATTTAAATATTAGAAAGTGTTACGTTACGAGGTTTTCTTAAAAAATCAATAATATTGTTTTTAATTATAAAATAAATAATAAAATCTTAAGAAATTTTGAAACAATTAAAGATTTGGTCTATAATTTTGACAAATCTTTATTATTTATATAAAATATTGTTATAAAAAAAAGACAAAATATTACGATTTGTGGTACGTAACAACAAGGAATTAAAAAGCCTACATACTTTGAAAGTCCTCTATAACGCTTATATTCGTAGTGAATTTAAATATGCCTACATCATTTGGTCACCATTAAATGACATTCATATTGATAATATTGAAAAAGTTCAAAGAAAGTTTTATAGATATCTGTGTTACCTAGTCTATGGATATAACCCCATTTTTAACTTTAATTATGTTGGTGCTTTAATGTTCTTTGACATGGAAAGTTTGGAGATACGTAAAAGAAATTCTGGCTTGATTTATCTATATAAAATAGTCCACGGTATAATTTTGACCCCGATATTCTCTTAAAAATAAAATTTCATATTCCAAATTCGGAGTTGCAATCTGATTGTAATATTTTTAATTTAGCTTTAATTCAATATATAAAAAGAATAAGAGCCTTAAATGTACCCTACTATTTATTTAGTTGTTTAATATTTACATGCTTTGTATACAAAGAATGTATATATACAGGGATGGTAATGTGCTCTTAGGCCGTTTAATAAATAAAGACATATGCATTATGAGACGTGGGAGTGGTGGAGTGACGTAAGAGTGGTGGGGCAGGCCAGACCGCGCCGCGCTCAGGGCTGGATGCTCCCGTGTACGAGTTTTGGTTTATGCCGCGCATGACGTCACTTGATGAGTAGTTGCCGTGCGAATACACGAATAATAGTAATATTATCAAAGAACATAGAGAAATATCTGGACATAGTGCGTTTTTATTAAACTTAATATTGAAGAAAGTGTTATAATATGGATAATAGATGCTTTTAGTCCTTGATAACATTTAGGGCTGTAGTTTAAGCGTTGGTGTTTTAAATTAAACTTATAGCCACTGTCCTGAAAATGTTTATAGGAAACAGAAGCGGTCTTAACGTTAATATTGTCTATTCTTTTTGTGACATTTAACCAGTTTCCACAAATCAAAGTTTTTCGGGAATCGATTAAATTTAATGTTTTTATTTAAAGGGTTTTTCTTGGACTGGTTGTCTGAATTGCATCCAAATATGCCACACCGCATTTTAATAAATGCAAATAGTACGATCGTACTAAACACAAACTAAAACACAAACAAAAACACAAACAAAACAAGTTAACGCAACACAAAAACAATAATAAACAAACAGAATAGGTTACACAACGCAATAACAATAATTTGAACACTGAAAAGTAATTCGAACCTTACCGAAAGCAAAAACAACAAGTTAAACAAAAAATAGAGCAAGTTAACATCGAACAGTCGCAAAAACAAGAATTTTAGCAGCAGATAATTAAATAGCACGTTAAAGATTTAAAAACACTCATCAAGTGACGTATTTAAGCCCCGCCCAACATGCGCACCATCCTATCTTATATGTATCTTGGTGGGATTGTAAAGCAGTTAAAGGAGGGGAAGTAAAACATTGGCGGACGTTAAATTGTTTTGATTTAATCGTTTTAAAATCTTGTACTGCACGCTTATGGCAGAGGGGAAATAAGTATTTTGTTATCCCATTCGTTCAATAATGGTTGTTTGTCTCTCTTATTTATAAGTTTATCTCACTTATTCGTACGTTTCATATAGCATGCATCTTTGTTTATTAACAAAAACCAGTGTAAACTATATTGTGTTTACTACTTTTTGACATCAAAATACAAAATTTTTGCCTAACAAGTGCCAAGAGGGCAGTATCAACTTGAAAATTTCAAATGGAAAGGGGGTGCTTGTGATACCTCATTTTAAAAGTATTTTAATTCTCTATATAACATTTTTTTGTTTTTTAAATCCCTTTAACCATAGCTTAGTTATTAGGGTTTAAAATTTTTAAAAACACGTTTTATTTTGGTTTTAATTTATTAAGAAAAATTTTAATTAGATGTTCGAAAAGTTCCCCTTGGACAGCTTGACACACAAATAGCCTATCTTCAAATTCATTTCTAACATTAGCAAAAGTTTCTTGCGCAATACTAGCACATGCACGACCAATCCGGTGTTTAAGATCATCTATGGTTTCCGGTTCTGTAATGTAGACCTTCGATTTTAAATATCCCCACAAAAAAAGTCAAGTGGCGTTAAATCGGGAGAACGAGCCGGCCATTCGGTAGGACCACGCCTACCAATTCACCGATTTGGGTAACTGTTATCAAGCCATTGTCTAACATCCCTAAAATAATGTGGGGGTGCTCCATCCTGCTAAAATATGACTTCTCTGTCAAATTCATCAGGATAGGTATTGATTATTTCCTCAATCATTGGTTGAATTTGGGGTTTAAGCATGTTAAGATACAGAATACCTGTCAAATTTTGTTCCAAAAAGATGGGGCCTACGATGTGGTTTCCCAGTATTCCCGCCCATGCGGATACTGTGACATTCTCGAAAAAAATGTGGATTAACATCTGACCAATAGCGTACATTTTGTCTATTAACAGTACCATTTAGAAAAAAAGTGGATTCATCACTAAAGCAAATTGAACTTATGTAGAGTGGATTTTGTGCTATGCGCTAACACATAAGTTCACAAAATTGCATTCGGTGATCAGGATCATCTTCAGTTAGTTGGTGGAGTATTTGAAGCTTGTGGGGATAAAATTTGTTCTTCTTTAAATATTTCCCAACAGTTGTTTGAGATACAACACAAGTCTCTGCAACTGCGGCCGTCGATTGTTGTGGAATATTGACAACCGAACCAACTATTTGCACCTGTTTCTCTTCGGAAATTGATTTCCTTCCCGATCCTTTCTGCCTACCCACACTTCCACTTATTTGAAATTTTGCCACCAAATCCCGTAGATATTTCCTGCAAATTGGGTTTTCTGGGTACCTTTCATTAAACACCCTTTCTGTTTCGTGCAAATTTTGCTCCATTTCGCCATGAATAAAAATAGCCTCCGTTTTTTCTTCTAATGGGCGATGTCGAACCATTTTACATTCAAATATTAATTTAAATTGCATGAACAACTAACAATTTAATACTAAAGATATTAACTATTTTATCTTTGTATCTTCTTAAAAACAGGATAATGGTATGGGTATTTAAATCAAAAAACTTGGCAAAAAACGCATAATTATTGCACTGGTTTGCAATAATTCGCACTTTGCGAAAATGTGAGTAGAAGCGACAAAAACGCTTAATAACTAAGCTATGGTTAAACGGATTTTAAAAACAAAAAAAGTGTTAAATAGAACATTAAAATACCTTTCAAATGAGGTATCACAAGCACCCCCTTTCCATTTGAAATTTTCAAGTTGATACTGCCCTCTTGGCACTTGTTCGGGAAAAACAAATTCATACTGACGTAAAAAAGTAGTAAACACAATATTGTTTACCCTGGTTTTTGTCCGTCATCGATATCTTTTTTGGTTCAAAAGTTTTCCATAACTAAAACTAAAACTAAATTCATTTTAAATACCTAAGTAAAAAACTAATTCGAAGGTTACCACTTTGCTTTGTTTTGCTGCGTCAATTGATAACATGATTATGATAATCTGATGGATGAGTATATCCGGACTACCAGAGTAAAATCTAGTTATTTTTGGACTGTACATTCCGTTTTTTGGACCGTCTCCTTTTTCCCAGTCAAAAACAAAAACTAACTAAAACCTATTTAGAAAAATCTGGTGGCCCAGAGAAATTTGCGGATCACCCGGAAAACAAGAGATTTTCTCTCAGCACAGTTTACCGCGCTGGTCTGACAACCTACTTTTTAGGTCAAAACTAATTTGTGAACTGAAGCATTTTTGTATTAATTTGTTAAGGAAAAAATAAGCTTGGCAGTGCTGTAAACAAAAATAAGTTATGTATATTATGGGCCAAAAACTCCACCTTTTTAGGGTTACTAATTGTAAAAATTTGTGACCTTATAAATAGACAAAAATATTATTTAATTTAGAAATAAAAAATTAATTAGAATGGACGAATATTGTTAATTTTAAAGTATCTATGCTAAACTTAAAAAAAAGCAATTTTTGCATAACATTCTACAAAAATTATTAATTTTGGAATTTATTTTGGGAATTCTATTTTTTAATTTGCTATTAAAATATTTTCTTGGTATTACATTTTTCTTCTTTATTGGGGGCTAAAATTAAAAATGACTTTTTATCCCCAGTTAATTTTTTAAATGAAAATTGAAGCAAAAAATATGTCATATCGCGGGTATATCGCGCGCATATTACGGCCATATCGCGATATCTCAGATATCCTAGACCATGCGTTATTGAACAAAACTTTCTATTTAGTTTTTATATGGTTTTTAAGTTTCTCAGGTAGGCTTGAGCACAATTAATTATAATTTAGAAGTGTCACTTCAAAAGTGTGCTTATAAAGATGAGGCACTCACATTTTTTTATTTTAATAAGACTTGGTTTTCATAACATTAATATTATTCAGTTTTTTTGTTTGTATATATGTAACTAGCTGGTGTATACATTTACGTGATAAATTAGTGTTGGTTGGTTTTGTGTGTTGGCCTGGTTTGGTTGATTTGTGGGTTGGTTGGTTAGTTTTATTTTATGTACATTTTTGCTCAGTGGCGGCTGGTTCTAAAGGGCACAAGGGCACGTGCCCACCCAACCGCCCGGATAAAAAGTAAAAAAAGTTATTTGTTGCATTGTGCATTATTTTAGTTATACGTAACACCATTGTAATAACTATTTAAGGATGGTCTCAAAACTTCCTTCTGTCCGCTCAAACGGTTGGATTTAAACCTTCTTTCCGCAACGCTACACTCTTAGAAAAGACCTGGTATTTGTAACTAACTTATTATCGTTGGGGTAAAACTGTTGCAGAAAATAACATTTTTTGTTTTTTGTAATCAGTACCTTTATATGTGTAACTGCTTGCATCATTACCTGAAAAGATTTAGTTTTGTTGTGGAGTATTATTTACTGCAAAAAGGCGATTAAGTTATTTTAACTGAAACTTTGTGTTGGCTAGAAGTATTGACAACATTATCTCAAAAAAATCATTTCGGCGGTAAAATGTTTTTGTTGGACCAAATATTTAAGTAACATTCTCAACTGACTGAAATTAGTCCGTGGAACTAACGGTTCGGTTGTATAAACTATGCGTCACTTTTCATACAGCTAAGACACCAGCGGTGTGAAACAAAGTGTCAGTTGGGGATGTTGTCTCTGTAGGTTAATGCAACTGCAAACTTTGTGCATTTCGCGCGCGATTTGTCCAGCCCGGCGCGTGCTTTACTTTTAACCTGTAAACAAACGGTGTTGCACGGCGTCCAGACGGTGGTGTTTGTTCTTTTGTATTTGTGTATCAGCTCGTGTGTTGTGTATATTTTAGGTAAGAAACTAGTTTATTACAATTAGTCATTTGCCCCTGTAAATTCAGTGGCGACATAATTTTTAACTATTCATATATATAAGAATATATTCTTATGTGTTGGTTACTTATAGATATCTCGAACAAATAATATGGATAAGCGGACTGAAGTACCTAGCAGATTTATTAGGAACATGGGGTTTACCTGAATTGGTTCCAGTTTTTAAAGGTTAGGTATAATTATTGCACTCCTTTAATTACACTATTGTAGTTTTGGGGTCCGAAAAAAAATTCAAAAATGTGAAAATGCCATACCGACTGAAAATGGCCTCCTGAATCCAATGGTGCCCACCAAAAGTCTCCATCACGTCGGAATTTCGAATTCTTACCCCTGTTATCATGCAAGTATGTTACGTTGTACCTAAGAATCATTGTTAAGTTGTTAAACAAAGGCTTGCACTTCACGTAAACATCACGGTTTATTGAAGAAGTATAGTCAACTTTCATCTTAATGTACCTATCTGTGTATATTTACCAAAGAATCGTTTTTGTTTTATTGTTAAAATATTTATAAATGTTTTCTTATAGTAATTATTAATTTTTGTTATAATGTTTAAACCAAAATTTGGTGTTTTCAGTTATATTGTTATTTTTTAATTTATAATAAATATTTATAAAACGAACGGGCATGAATTTCCTTTCTCTATTTTTTATAATATTTACACAAAAAGTGTTATATTTACTAAGCAGGTATGTACTGTGGAATAATACCAATTTGTTGTTGCTACTAATGCAAGCATTTAATATTAAATATAACTTAGTTACAATACAAAACAAATTTATATTATATCAACTATTAAATTCTTTAAATGTACCTTTTTTCATGTAATTTCAATTAAAAAATAAATTCCTGCATGATACAATGTTTGTTGCGATAAATAGCAAGTGCAGTTGTTACAACTTAGACGCTGCTAACATGACAGACTAATGTGATTTCATTAAATATCAATTATTTGTATGAAAAAAAAACTAATTTTGATGCACTTAAACTTGTTGGTTGGAGCTACCAATATTGGCTGTTCCGACAACAAACTGTAAAAACAAATTTGTATTAGTTCCCACAACATATTTTTTTGTTGTGCCTATTTTCACTAATAAAATTGGTTCTGGGAACTAAATTTTCATTGCAAATACCAGGTCTTTTCTAAGAGTGTACAGCTCGCGTCGCCGGGGCACAGTTTGAAATGTACCTATTCCGAGTACGATTCGGTGATCTTTGGTTATCCTCTCAGTACGCGAATATATCTTCAATTTGGGGCACCGAACGCAGTGTCTCTTCAACAGCTCAGCTGTTATCTGTGTCAGTTTGTTTGATTTCTAACTTTTTGGTCGCCGCGCGCCTTTGTGTTTTTTAAGTTCCAAGTGAATTACGTGTTTTGTTTTTTAAATAAACAATTTTTTATTAACAATAATGGCATCAGCGGAAGTAAGTTGTGTGCAAAATCATTTAAAAAGCCCGATGTAACTTGAAGATAAACTTTTAATTAAGAAAAAAGGAAGACATATTCCCGATCTTCGAATACACTACACTTCCACAGGTAAAGGCTGTAGCGGAACACAGTAAGGTGTCCGATTATCTCAGGGTGTAAGGAGGGTGTCGCTGGATGAAGGAATTAAACAAAACACACTGGGTCCTTGCAACTCCACTTTTAATAACCCAACAGATGATCTTCTACAATTAGTCTTAGCGAACGAACTCAATCTAAGCAAGGTAAAATAATAATCAATTATCGAGCAGACCCCTTATTATGTCTTAATAACTTACCTAAGCAAGATCAAGACACTGCGGTTGCAATAATTAAACAGTTCACACATTTAAACGCAACACAGCGGCTTATCAGGATCTTTGCGGCGATCGAATGATTATTAATTAAGATGGCTGGTGAAAAGGCCACAAAAAATTTCATTCACATAAATTACGCGCTAAATTGTTTAAACATGCGGCTGCGCGGCGTAATATAGGTTGCCTAATAGTGGACGGAAATGCGCTCCGCTTTACCTGCCCCCTACATTGTAGTAACGCAACAATCAACAGTTACGGAGCTACAAGGTTAATTTTCAATATTAAATTTAGTCCCCCAAAGAAGAAATTATTATTTTTTTTGAATTTGTATATATTTTTTAAGGTGGGAACTATGAAACATACCGCGTTCAGTTCTGGAAGTGGGATTTTCCAAAATAAAAGTAGCCGGTCCGACGCGTTTTTTAACCCGATATGGACCCTCAAATAGTAACATAAATTTCTTAGTTTCGGCGTTAAGCAACGAGGAAATAGGATTGGCTTTTAAAAGAACTAGGTCCCCTGGTCCAAGATCAATGTTTGTGGTTCGTTTCTGGGCGATAAGTCGTCTGGGTGGCGATTCTCGAGTTAAGAGAACGCTTCTCATAGGAGAAGTGGGCATTTCTCTCAAGTTTTGACAGGCTGCATTATTTAATTTAAGATAAGTTAGTGCGTTCTTCTCTCGGAAACTCTTTTCTGCTTTAGGAAAACCAAACTATTGCATGATTTTAAGAATGCAGCCTGTCA